CTTTCTTTCTTTCTTTCTTTCTTTCTTTCTTTCTTTCTTTCTTTCTTTCTTTCTTTCTTTCTTTCTTTCTTTCTTTCTTTCTTTGCTGGCCCTGGGGCTTGAACTCTAGGCCTGGGTGCTGTCTTTGAGCTTTTGTGCAAGGCTAGTGCTCTACCACTTGAACCACAGATTCCCCTTTGGGCTTTTTAATTGTTAATTGGAAATAAGGGTCTCACAGACTTTCCTGACCAGGCTGGCTTTGAATCATATTCCTCAGATCTCAATCTCCTGTGTAGCTAGGATTGCAGGCATGAGCCACCAGCACCACTTTCTTTCTTTTAAAAAGTTGCACTAAGATATTTAACATGAGACATCTTCCTGACAAATTTTTAATGCATAACAGGAGGTTGTTAAGAATAGGTGCAGCACTGTCTCTCTTATATTGTAATTTTGTCCTCTTGTACTGTAGTTCTTCTTACTGAAGAGGTTCAATCTATTTTCGTGCTGTCTTTGGTTCTGTTTGTCGTCCAGTAACTTACTTTGCCTAATTACCAGGTTGTTATCAGGTATGTTGCTTATAGAAGTTTGAAGAAGTCCTGTGTTTTACGTCTTTCTATGCCCTTCTATGATTACCACAACAATGTACCTGAGCTGGCCTGTTACCTAGGAGAGACATACAGTAGAGCTGACTCATAGCAGGCCAAGATAAGTTCCTTTGTTGATGTACAGCTGATGATAGAAGCCTATTGGGGACTGTAAGAACTAAACAGGCAACCTTTACATTCCTAAGCCAATAAATGCTAATAATGTCAAACTTCTGAGTTTTGGGACGATTTGCTATTACCCCAAGTAATGTTATTATTATTCACTAGTTAACACACATAGGACTCAACCTATCATACAATTTAGCAAATATCCATCAAATGCCAGCTGTACAGGTGGAGATTTATCTAAGAAGAAATATAGGATAACCTAAGTATTTAAATAGAGGAATATATAATGCAGGCAATTGGTCAGGTAAAGG